ACTGCAGACAGTGAAGGGCAGTAGGAGTTGAGACATTGTGGGTATAAGCACTCAACCACATACCCTTAATTAATTGATTTTTCGTGACGGCTGACTAATTTAACATCAGCGTTTGGATTTTGTCTGATAGATGGGATATTCCCAACGCATTTGGGAGCTATTACCACAGGCATTGTCCGCTATGACTTAAAGATGACAACTAGGACTAACAATGCGAAACTACCAAAATATCTTCAATGCTTATTTTATGTATATAATTTCAGAGAATACTGACATCATCCGAACTGGAATACACTGTAAATAAAGTCAGGGTGACACGTGAACATTACCGCCAAACTGTAAGCAAAAGCTGTTTATGAGAGAACTGTTTAATCTAATGGATCAAAAGCATGCAGAGTGTTGCAACTGGCGTGCTTTCATGAAATACACACATATATATATTTATATATATATGGAATATTGAATGAGTTTGAGATGTATTTCAAAGTGAAAGGAATAGAGTGGTGTGAAATGAGAAGTATAAATGAATTTTTAGTGATTTATGAAGTACACCGTTCCTTTCGTTTTTCCTTATGTTTTGTGTTCGCCTGCTGTCAGAAACAAACGTACAAGTCTGTCGGGTGATGTATGGCGCATCGTTAAGCGTGGCGTATGTGAAATAGAACTTTGTACCCTGCAGTAATGCGCGCAGTCGTAAAACCTGATGAAATTGGCAGTGATTTTAACTCTGCTCAGACGTGTTACTTCTTTCAGCGAAATCCAGGCATAAAAAATAAATACAATTTTCAGAGCTTGCACTGTATAGTTTTTGACTTATTTGATGTTAAACTTTAGTTTACGAATTGAATAAGGAATTGTTTGTTGTTTCAACAACGTGCGTGAAACCTTTAAGACAACATCAGATTATAAGAATAAGACCTAATTTAATCACACGGAAAACACGACACGAAGACATTCGTTGCGCACGTATTAAGTTTCATGAAGATAATTTACTTAATTGAGAAAAAACAATTGAATCCAACGTGTATCCTCTTTCGTAGCTTCACATATATATATATGTTTGTTTATCTCTACATTTTATTCGGTGTGTTACGAATGTGAGAAGAGACCTACAGTTTCTTCTACTTGACAAAAGGTGTGGTTGGAATTAGATATATCTATTACCCTGACAAAACAATATTCTCCTTTATTTGTTACTTTAACTTCAGTCCTTTCTAAGACAACAGGCTGCCTAAGCTTTTCTTTTTGTACGATTGTGCCACTCGTATTTGCGAAATTTTAAAGTAAATATTTATTGAATATTTTCCCTTTGTTGTGTTACACAGTATGGTACACCTTATTGGCTTTTGTTAACATATGTAAAGATGGGAAATTTTATCTCTTGTATTTGTTTAGGAATGCTTAGAAAGGCTCTCCAAATGAGTACACGGAAGAAACGCGTCTGTAACCCTTTCCTTTAGTGGTGAAAACAAATCGTCACTTTAGTTACAAAGTTTACATGGTTTCCTGTAATATCCAGTGACTGACCAGCTTGTTTTCTCTTTTACTCTTACTTTTTTCTTGAGTGTTGGTCACTTCCAAGCAAGTGATGTAACAGAGAAATGTATCAGTGGCGTAACTACAAAAGACCCCCTCCGCATAAAACTAATTGAGCTCACTACATTTATTTCTTTATAATTGTAGTTACGATTCTGGCTGACTCAGACTCCCTTTTGGCTCGGGCCACGCTGCAATTGCGGGGGCATACTTACGCCACTGAATTCTATGAGCATCGATGTGTTACATTCACTGAGCAAATGATATGCCAGAGGATTCTATGAGCATCGATGTGTTACATTCACTGAGCAAATGATATGCCAGAGGATTCTATGAGCATCGATGTGTTACATTCACTGAGCAAATGATATGACAGGGGATTCTATGAGCATCGATGTGTTACATTCACTGAGCAAATGATATGGCAGGGGATTCTATGAGCATCGATGTGTTACATTCACTGAGCAAATGATATGACGGGATTCTATGAGCATCGATGTGTTACATTCACTGAGCAACTGATATTACAGGGGATTGATTCTATGAGCATCGATGTGTTACGTTCATTTAATAAGTGGTGTGATAGAGAATTCTATGAGTATCGATGTATTACGTTCACTGTGCACATCTATGTAATGACGTTCGTGGAGTATACGGAATCAATACTTCCGTTGCACACTCCTAAAAATATGATATACAAATATTTAGAAACAAACACAACAACAACAACAGATATGTGTTCATAAAACAGAAGCGGCATCAATTGTTATGACCAGTATGTAAGTTCCTCACAGATGTATTAGGTTATTCAAGAAATGTATGATAAGTGTTAAATTTTAACGCTTACAGATGCTAGTACCTTTTAGTGGAATTTTTAAGTTAAAAGATGATTTTGGCCATGTGAAATTCTATACCGTTCCATTAGTCCGAGAAACAGTTTTTAGAATATCAACAACACAATTGCTGAAAAAAGAAAAGAAAAAGATAGTAAACAACAACTTTGAATCAGCAAAATTGTTAAGTAGTGTAAAGAGGGCATTATCTTGAAGTTGTGGTGTCTATATCAGTTCATGGTATACGGTGAACATCTGTGGGTACCTTGGATCCAGTCTGGTTGACTCACTTTATCGTTTGTTCTTTAGATGACACATGAAGAAAAGTAATTATCTCAAAGGTTCTAATTTCCTGTAAGAACAACACTACTCTGTAAATGAATATAGCACAACATGATAATTGTTGGTTCCTGTCGCTTGGCCCGGCATGGCCAGGTGGTTAGGGCGGTTGTCTCGCAATCTGAGGGTCGCGGGTTTGAAACCCAGTCCCACCAAACATGCTCGCCCTTTCAGCCGTGAGGGCGTTACAACGTTTCGTTGGTAAAAGAGTATCTCAAGAGTTGGCGGTGGATGGTGATGACTAGCCTAGGGACGGCTAATGCAGATAGCCCTCGTGTAGCTTTGCGCGAAATTCAAAACAAATCAAAACCAGTCTTGTTGCTTAGACTGAAAGCGGGAAATATCGTCAACCTCCCACATTTGTTTGAGTATCGTTATATTTATACAAAATACGTGACTACGTTCAACCTAATTTTACGTATATTATATAAAAACTGACTACAATATCTAAAAAAATAACTTCAATGATGACTGTACATGATTATTCTCTGATTTTTGTTAAGATATTGTCTTCCTGGAATTTACATTCAGTGTAAAAAAGTTATGTAACGCGTTCAAAACTACCATAGTATTTCTGGTTCACCTCTGTAGTTCTGTATAGTCGTTTTAAATTTCTAAAGTGAAATAAATTTGAAAGATAGCATAGAGTTCAGGATTCGATACTCACTGTGGACACGTTCTACAGCTGTGCGCTGAAACAAGAAGCACATTATATAACAGTAAGTTACGCAATCCAATTCTGTTTATCGTGGTCAATGCAAACAATTACCCAAGCACTGGGATGTTGTTTAATTGGTCACTGTAGAGTTATTGAGCTGATATTAAGTTTTTTTATAATATTTTTCGTGCCTGCAGTTTACTCAATTGTTTCAGTCAAATTCCGCAACTTTCTAAAAAATGGGAATAAGGGTTGCTTCTTCTGAACTATAATGCGGTTAGTTTATGTTTTCATGCTATATCGAACCAAAACCTATAAATTTATCTCACTTACGAGCTTATAATTAACAAGCAAAAGTACCCGTCCCCAGTGACGGAAAAAGTTTAAATTAATCTAGCAAAAGTACCCGTCCCAAGTGACGGGAAACGTTTAAGTTAATCTATCAATTTAAATTAGTTCATAAACTTTAAAAAAAGTTAATTGTGTTGCACTCTTGGTTTCACTCGGAGTCGGTGCTTTGAGCTACTTATACCCCCCACCGCGAAAAGCAGTTGTTGAGCATTTCATCAATAACGTACGGTAAATCTACATTTTTATTCTTTAAGTTACGTCACAGTTTGAAATGTGAATGATAGTGTGATTAATTCCTAACAATTTAGTGTAGAATATCCCTCTTGCGAAATAAAATTTGGCATCAAAATTATTCATGCCTATTCTCCGTCATTTCAATAGTGAATGTTGAGCTTTGCCTGCGTGCACAGCTTTTCAAACGGGAGACAGAAGAACGTTCGGACAAGTACGAATTAAATTAGTAGTAAATTGACCATTAAAAATTTATACTGAAGTTAGTATGATGTTCTTTACGAAATCCCCAAATGTTTCTTACTTGGTTTATTTTTTTTATTTATACAGGATATGATGAACAGAGAGAAGAAAGACGAACTTCCTCTTATGCAGGTCGGCTTCATCGATGCCATCTGTATGCCAGTTTATGAAGTATGAAAACTTTTTACATACATATACCTTATTACATTGCACAAAGAAGCTAAACGATTGTTGAATTTAAAATAAAATATTTTTGCTATGAGAGAGAGCCAAAAACAACTGTATAAAACAATATCAGTCATCCTTTCAATATATTTTTACGCAAACAAATTTCGTGTAATAATGCAGCTTAAAATTTTTGGCATTGATTACAAATTTCGTTGTTTTATAATTTGTTTTAACCATACTTTTGAAAAATAGAATATTATATTGAGAAGTTCGCATTCCAAGCGAACTGCATTGCGCCTTTTTTGTGAGCGTTTTGCATTTCATTAGAAGTTGGTTTATAGGTCATACTGATAAGGTATATTTATATTCGTACATATACTCCACGGCATTCAATTGTGCTTGCGAACGTTTGTTTCAGTCTCGAAGTAGGTTCCTTGTGATTACAGTGAACCATAATTGAAAATGGCGGATGTGACTTAAATGATGGTATACTTTGTTTAGGTGTCTAAGGTCTGGTAGGTACCACTGGTTTAGAAATGGTTTCATATTTTGCTAATGTGAGTATGAAATACCTCTATCAAAACTTGCAACAGTCTGTCATGATTGTTTGCTTTCCATATGCCCAACGGCTTTTAACATGTTTGAAACAATTAGATGTATTTTTTAAGATCCACCCATGCTTCATAAACAGGACACTTTAAAACTCTGTGATTCCTTTCAGTGTGACAACTTAGAAAAGACTATGTGAGCCCACTATGTATAACATAAGCTGAATGACTAATTATTCTTATTTTAGATCACTGGTTTCCAACCGCTGGTCCGGGGTCTTTGCCAATCCACAGGAATATTTCTGCTGGCTTACAAGACGTTTGTAAAAATGTGTTTTACAATACAGTTACTGAAGTATATTGTGTTACAATGTAATTTAAAAGTACTTCAAAAATCATTATTATACAAAGCTGTCCGTGAAATTTTGGGATCTGATCTGGTTGGTCCTCAGTTGGAAAATGTTTGGGAACCACGTTTTAGATCACATGGGTGATTATCATATACCGAAGTTGTATATAATGAACTGGGTTGGGGGGGGGGACTGACACAACAGTGGCTTTACCTTATCATAAGTGTTAACACTAAAATGTTAGTTTGCATTTTTAAGACTCGTATGTCTTCACGGAGGCAGCACAAAGGGGTTTAAGCATTTATATAACAACCTATCTATATTAATGTTATTAGAAACCTTAACTCAAGCCACCACAAAAATGGGTGAGACTTCATGTATTTGCTAGTCGAGTGTTCTATTTGAAATCCCTTTACCAGAGCTCATAGCAAGTAGAAGTGGATTGGTAAGACCCTTCTCATACATACAGACATTAATTTTGAATGTTTTTTTTGTTTTTCTGTCAAATAAAACTTTACATCAGTCTTCATAAATGTCTGTGGCAACTGACAGCTTTTGTGTGACACTTGATTCTCTCGGACAGTTAAGATTTTTCTAGAAAGAAAAACATATTATTCGAGAAATTATAAGTAACATAAACATTCAAATATATGTATGAGAAAGGCGTTTGTTCCTGGGGTAGATGCTAATGTTTAGAAGGATTCAGGATGTCAGAAAAACACGTAGGTCCAAGAAGTCTTAATATAAAATAATAAAAACCCTATAACCTAAGAGCTTTCGAAAAGTGGACCTTCCTCCTTCAGGGACAAACTTTCGAAAGCGCTCAGGTTATAGGA